TTTCCCAAAAAGAAAAAAAAAGTGATTACTTTGATCATATGCCGAATATACTGCAACTAATAGAGTAATAGATGGTCGTATGAATGCACTCTGCATATCGCGTCTCAAAACCGATGACGAAAAAGCTAGTCCAGGCTGAGTAAATAACGGTCAGTAACCGCTAAATAAGTTATTGCCGGGAATGCAAGACAAGAGCCAAAAAAAAATGGATGCTATGTATGTACATGAAAAGTGTGTTAGTGAATATAAATATATCATAATTCAGGATGTGATGGAGAGCTACAAACGTAAAGGGCTTTCGCTAAGAAGAGCAGACATTGCAACTCTTCCTGCAATATCCTCTGGCTGCATCATTTCCAACCATATAAAGAGAGTTCTTCTCACATTCACCTCTTTAGCCCAGTCTGCGCAATTCTCATTCTCATCCACACATTTCCCAGAATCACTTGGCTTTATTATTGGTTTATTATAGTCCGCCACATGTATCCACTTAGTTGCTGACCACTTCTCCCCCTTTATCACTGGGCAGCTTCCGTGCAAGCTGCTAAGATCTGTCGTTGCGTCCAGATGAAGGCTGAAGAACAGCAAGGCATCCCCCTTTTCAGGTTTTACTGCATTTGTAAAAACGCCAAAATATAAGGCAGTAAGCCCACTTTGATAACGGCAGGCAAGACGTTATTCATTAATAGACAAGTTACAACAAATGAGGACAGCCACACAAAGACGATCGATTTGGTTTATCAAATGCGAACTATCTGATAGCCCAAATATTTAATTGATCATAACTCGTATTTTTTCTTTTCCAAGTGTAGATTTTCAACAGGAAAATGTCGTTATCTTACTGGCCATAAATGGCCTTGTAAAATCATTTTGACAAAAGAGTAATCATGCGACATTAAACACACCTGAACTTATAGCTCTAAACCAGTCCCCTCAATTCCCACAAGGAGTTTCGAACCATGCTTGTTTGAAATGTTCAAAATCAAGCATAATAACATTAACAAGTCCCAATGCATTTATAGTCTGTTACTACCATCCGGGAAAAAAAAAAAAATCATACCGGCATAGCCTCTGTGAGCACATTCAGACCAATTCTCATCCTTTGGCTGGGACGACTTTGCCTACAGACAGAGAACAATTTACTTTCTCTTGTTTAATTTGTGGGGAGTGGGATATGAAAAGGGACCATCAGAGGATCAAATTCACAAGAACTCATCACCTCAGAATTGGGAAAAATTGTCTCCCCACCCTTCTCAACATCGGACAAATACATCAGCACAGTGGCCACCCGGTGGCCACCCATTCGCTGATTAACCTCATCATGAAAAAAATCAAAATGTGGCTCATACTTTTGACCATTCTCATAGTGCAATATTTGAATAGGCTCGCCATTCTCTGATGACACAAGTAACTTCAGGACAGGAACCAGACAAAAATAAAGAGAAAATCAACCATAAAAATATTATTGCCGAAATGCCGTGTTGCATTATTACCTTTTGGAAGGAAGGTCCATGCAGCAATTCTTTCTTCAATGCGGGAAACTACGTCATCCTTTAAGGTAAGACATCAAAATTCAATAAATTTAATATGCATTCGTCACATGACTATAATAAAATAAAACATAAAGCTCAGGGAAGCACAGATACTTTGCAACAAAATCTTGTGCAGAAATTTAATATGCCTATTTTTTTTCCTCAAAACACAACAGAAGTTATATTAATGAAAAGAAAACGAACGAAGAACCACCAAAAATACAGGTGATAAACATTTCACCCATTGCCTTGTGAATCTTTGCAGATGAGAAACAGTAAATCTTTGCTTCCTAAGGGTGAAGGGAGAGATCTGTAAAGATTGCAGGAAAGCTAACTGATCGAACTTTATGTAAATGTAAGAATCAGAAGATTAACAGCATTATGACTGGATAATGTTGAATAGAAGTTAAACGAATGTCAGCACATTCACCTAGCAATTTCAATTTGGGGGTTCCCTTTTGTGGCCAATACCACTTCCGCATGCTTTACTTTATCTACAACTAGTCTATCTCTACACCTTCTCCCTAAATCAACAAAACACAAGAAAACTGGTTTCTCTCATGTTTTACTTTCTGATCAATAAATTCTGAGAATCCATCTTTCCAACAAAACCACAAGCAAAACTTCTTTCTTTTTCCTAAACCATATTATTTTCTCCTGACATGTATTATAATTACAACAGCAACATATCTTGCTCTTACTACAACATAATTACAAGAAGAACAAATCTCCACCTCCTACATCACGACCAAAACAAAGCACATGTTTAGCAGGTTCAGCCTTACAAAGAGAGGTACCATAATTAACCATACCTGGGCATATTCAAGGAACATTCCAGAGCTTGTTCTGACTGTACTCGCTACACTTTTGCCCGACTCATTATCCGCTACCATGGACTTTTCTAGCTTATCCTTCGCCTAATACCACAATTTTAACCATTGAATTTAATCAAAACATGCAAATTTGTCCTAAGTCCTGGCGCTCCGGATGCTATAAATAGAAGAAAGACCAGACCAGATTTAAAAATTAACAAGGCTCTAACCAGAAGGATCAAATGGTCGCATTCTTCCTCAGACAAGAATCCCTTGTATACAAAAGCTCTGAATGCCACAATTGAGAAACAGAGTAAAATCAGAGCAGCCTACAATCTAATAATTAAGGAAAGAACAAGAGGAAAGAGCAAATACCTAGGATGCCACGAGAGTTGAGTGACCCGAGCGGGATCAACCGCCACTGAAGAACGTTCTTTGTTTAATTTAAGCACTGATCCGCGCCTGCAAAAGATATAGGACAAATTGTGACTTTATTCGGGGAGAAAAATTGAAACTTAATGTTTTATCTCGCATGTTTTCGTATGCGCAAGTAGACAAACATAGAAAAGGAGGTGTAAAATTACGTGCTCGTGTCTTCCACCGACTTCCGCAATCGAATTGAAGAAACAGATAGATCAGGGAGAATACAGAGAAAACTGAGAGAAAGTGCCAGAAACTGCCGATAATCCATGAAAAAGAATACAAATAACCTAACCTAATTAGAACTTAGAAGGGAGGTAGCCAAAACGTTCAACAGTGCAATTTGAGTTATATGCGGAAAAAGACAACACAAGTACAACAAAGCAAATGAATAAGTAGGGGAATTTCTTCGCAATTGTTCTTCGGTGCGGAATCTGATTAAGCAATGCAACAACATACGCGTGCCCCACTGAATTTTGATCTTTCTTTTTCTTTGTTGCTGTGTGAACCTCAATGGCACTCAGTCCAAAGCCTCTTTGATCAGGAACGGAAAAATAGCTTGCTTTTCATTTTATTTTTACTTTTATCTATTCTTGCAAAAAATAATTATTCCCTCCATAGTCCATGTTTTACATCTAGCTTCTGACTATATAAACGGTAACATGGAAATATTTTATTGAAGTTTTTTGTTTTTGAGCTGAAGGAAATATTTTATTGAAGTTGACACACTCTAATTACGCAGAACAAAGACAGCTAACCCCATCCATGTTTTGACGTCAGGGCTAATAAAATGGTGAGGTGGCTGTCACGTGGAAATATGGTGATTGAATCAGCCCTCCCTTTCATATTGGTCAAAACTTACTCCTTATTCGCTCTCAAAAGTACAGACACTAATTGTTTGATTTAATTTGTAAACGATTGTGCTCTCAGGTCTATTTTAAATAATTAGGTTCTGTTTGGATGTCTCCTCAAACTATAATTTGAAAAAAAAAAAAAACTGCCAAACAGGAACAATTCTGAAAAAACCATAGTTTTATACTTAAAACTATAATTTCAGAAGAAGTGAGTTTATTCTACTCCTAACTCAAATTGGAGAGTCTGTCAGAATAGATTTTAATGATAATATGACTTTAACACCCATCAATTATTTTTTTATAAACATATTTAATCTTATATTTTATAAATATATACACATATTAACTATTTATTAATTATATTATCTTATATATTATTAATTATGTTGGTAAAAAATATATTATTAACAATTTTATTTTTTCAAATTAAAATATATTATAAAATCTATCTTTTATATGATTATAATATTAACTTGTACTTTTTTAGTAATTTGAACAACTATCCAAATATTCTTACTTTATCAAAATTACTTTTTTACAAAATCTATTCTCTCAAAAATCTATTTTTCAAAAATTATTCTCAAAACCATAATTTGGTTTCTTACATGCACCCGTTAATAGTAGAGCTTGCCATTAAAAAAAGAATTGAATATTTGCAGAGCTTGTCATTTGAAAAAAAGAAAAGAAATTAATAAATTTAAAGGATATTGATGAAGCGACAAGGGAAAAAGCTTGGTCTTGGGTGAAGTACTGATTTATCATTGCGGGAGGCTGTTCCTGTTTCTATCATCTCACCATCGATTGCCTCTTCAACAGCTAGCGAAAGAAATGCAATTATTAAAGCGTCATGTTCGTAATAAAACAAGTGCTGTAATTGCAAAGGAATAAAGCAACAGTTGAAACCATTCAAAAGCAACCATCCCTCTTACTTTTTCAAGTGAATATACAAGAAAAGTAACAGATCAGTGAGATGTAGACGCTACATTTTCACGTTCCCAAATGCAGCCATTTCCACACAACACTGTAGCTTTTATCCATGTGTGTGGTCTTGTTCAATTTTTCCTTTTCACGAAGTACATTTTTTTTGGGCTAAAAGTCTTGCACAAATCTATTCAGTTCTCACAATTTCACGCATCAGACAAACACAGGCAAAAGTTCGCCTCCTCCTTTTGTTTTTGCTTTTTCTTTTTCTTTCATTTTCCTCGTGCATTGTCAGAAAGTGTTTGTGCATGAACTAATTGTTCTTGTGGGTTGTGATACCTATTTCTTCGTTTCTTCTCATTTAGCCAGAATCATAACTTTATTACAACACACAAGAAAGAAAATCACGTGAAGGAACAGACTGGAGGAATGAAACTAAATGGAATGCCAACAAATGTACATCAAAAAAATTCAAACTCCAAGTAAGGACCTGAAGACCTATCCGAATTATCAGAGTTTCCTTTGTTATTAACTGGCACTGACGGCTTCAAAGTCTCATTCAAAACTGCAAGATCTAGTGGTTTTGGGATCAGTGGGGGTTGGTTGCTACGAACTAGAGCCCAATTAACACTTTGAAAGAAAGGATGTTGTTTGATCTCAGAGGCACCTCTCTGAAACCCAAGCCTCTTCTTTGGGTCTTTCACAAGCAATCCTCTTATCAAATCCTTAGCAGCAAAACTGATGTTCGATCCTTCAGGAAACTTAAGAGGCTGCCCAACAACGTTGAATAGTGTCTCTCGGTTTCCATTGCCCTTAAATGGTGTCTTCGCATGCAACAACTCATACAAGAAAATACCAAATGTCCACCAATCCACAGCACTACCATGTCCATCGCCTCTTACAATCTCCGGGGCTAGATATTCATGAGTCCCAACAAATGACATAGAGCGAGCGTTGGTTGGCTCAGCAATAAGCATAGGATATGAATCTGGGTTTGTTGAATTTTGTTTAGCACTCCTTGACTTCGTCTTTTTAGAATTGAAAACATGGGGTTTGAAGCAAGAAGGCTGCAACTGCAGGCACGAAGGCTCCACACAAACAGATAGCTTGCAAGATGGGTCTATGCACGAAGATGGCTCGACACAGTAGGAAGAAACCCGACAAGACGGTTCCTCGTTGGACTGAACAAGGGTAGGTCTCACACAACATCTTAATGATAGATCAAAATCAGAGAGCATGATATGACCGTCCTCCCGAACCAGTACATTCTCGGGCTTCAAGTCCCTGTATACCACCCCCATCATGTGGAGATACTCAAGAGCAAGAAGAACTTCAGAAGCGTAAAACCTGCAAAGACAAAAACTTGGAACATAAATTTTCCCATTTTCGCATAGATTGGTTTTTCACGTCACTGGATAACAAATTAAACAGAATGTACCACGTTCTTCTACTGACCTTGCAGCTTGCTCTGTGAAATGCTTGCCTGGCTGGCGCTGGCGGAGGACGTGAAGATCACCACCATTACAGAACTCCATAAGCAAGCAAGAGAATTTCTCTGTTTGGAAATGAGAATAAAGGGTGGGAAGGAAAGGGTGGTCCAAGGAACCCAAAATGTCCCTCTCAGTCTGGACTCTAGACATCTTTCTCCTCGCAGTCAACTTTGCCTTATCCATGACCTTCATTGCGAAGAGACAACCCTTCCCTTTAAGCTCGGCCAGATACACGCTCCCAATGTCCCCAAAACCCAGCTTCTTCAATAGCCTGAAGTGTCCCAAACCCAAATCTCCGTACTTAGCTTTCACGAACTGTATGGCATCCCATCGAATATCGTTGCCTTTGTGAGGCTTGCAAGGGCAAAAGCTCCTAAGACTTGAATCATCGGCATCACAACTGTTAGAGTAATTGCTCATACAGCTGGAGCTGCTCTTGTAACTTTCGTCATAACTGTTGGATTCTGTGCTGCTTTGAGACTCAACATTGCTATTATTGCTCATCTTGCTAACGCTAGGATCTTGGAGGGAGCAGACGAGAGAATCAGAATTGATGTTCTCGGCATCATTACCAAGTGTCTCGTCCATGACCCAGAAGAGGCTACTGGTTCACAGGGTGTTAGATGAGGGTTATATAAAAACGGAGGCGGTCAAGGTGGTCAAAGAGAGAGAAAGACGTGGGCGCCAATGATGCTAGGTGAACATGGGGACCAAGAAGAGGGTTAAAAAAACTTGGACTCCGATGCACAGAACTCGAACTTTTTGCCCCAAAAATTATTTTATTCTTGGGAGAGATTCATTACCAAAGAGATCAAGCTTTAACATTGCTCAAAAAAAGCATATCCTTGTAAAAAATTGAAGAACAAGTAGGTGTGGAAATTTGAATTTGGGAGAATGAAGGGTGATGGACCCAAGGAGTGAAGTGGGTCAGGGGAGGAGTCCGTGTGAAGCAGTGCCCCGGAAAATGTTACAGCATCGTGACAAAACACGGGACGAGAGAGGGACAAGCGGACAACCAACAGGAAGAGTCCAAGAGAGACCCTAGTTACGAGGACGAGGCTTGAGATTTTCTAAACAAACACATTTCCTTTTCTCTAAAACAAAACAGATTCTTTAAAATTATGTAAACCCTATCCAAAAGGACTAATTGTGTCAAGCATTAATTCATTTCGATCGTATAGATGAGTTATCAAAGAGGAAGAGGTGGTGATGGGAGGAAGGGATGTGGTAGGTACTAGGTTGGGCCAGGACAAACCCAGGAATGGGCGGATATAGGGACTAGGGAGGACGCAGGCACGCCTGATACAATGACAGCAAAAATGGCAGGGTTTTGGGCAAGCTAATGGAGGCCAGCCAGCTATTATCATGGAAGGCTTGGGTTTTGAAGAGGTTTGGTGAGCAGAGTGGGAGCAAGGCAGCGAGCGACCAAGCCACCAAAGGCCATAGCTTGCACCCGCTGCTACGTTTTGTCATAAATGATACCTCATCGTTAGATGAATTTCAAAGATAAATATATATTAAGATTCTACATTTACAGTTGAAAGAAGTAATTCTTGTCAATTATTCCCAGCGAGATATGGGCTTAAACGCATATAAGCCCTCCATTTGACTGTTTAATCTGTTGGTCAAATATTTATTGTTAGAGTTTTGTCTCATGCTATCTTCGAGAACTAGTTTGTAATTTATGATAAATTATTATCTTCTATTTTTAATATAAAAACTAGTTAATTAGTTTAAATAGATTAAAAAATTAGTTAAGTTAATTATTTGTAATAAATATGTATCGTTCTCTCTAAAATACTATTACTAATCATATGTGTTAACTAAAATTATTATTTAATAAAACATTTAACATGTGCAGCGGCTACAAAGATTGTCATAGGGAAAAAAAGATAAATATGAAAAACAAAGTGGATTATAATTTGATATTTAAGATTAAATTAAATATGAAACTAACTATTATATTAAATAATAGATGCAATAGTTTTACTCTTCCGGTCCTTAATATAAGATCTATTTAACTAATTTGATTAGATTAAGGAAGTTAGATAAGTTAGTTAATTATAAGACATGTAACATGTTTTTACTAAAATATCATAATCATCTTTATTAATACCCCATTTTTCTCTGTTACTTGATTATGATTGAGAAAATATCCATATGGATAATTTAAAAAAAATTAATAAATATAAGAAATAAATCTTATATTTAAGATCAAAACTAACCTAACAATAAAGTCCTATATGAATGACCGGAGGGGTAATATAATATTTAGCATGGGAGGTGGAGTGTTGCAAATGGGCGTAGGGTTACCTGCTCCTGCTTCCTATCTCCCTTTTCTTGTGGAGCCCAACTTCGCCTCGGTCGTCATCAGTTCTCTAACACTGCTTCTCCTGTGTCTTCATTCCCCGAACAATACGGTTACTTGATCACGTCTCCAGCACAGCTCCAGCTCCTTGGGGTTGCCAGTACTTAAGTCCGAGTTGTATTTCATTTTTGGATGCTTTTAAAGTTTTCTATTTCCTTCACTCAAACAAGTGGTGTCCGTGGCCCCTGTCAAAGCTCAGGAGTGACGAGGGAGGAAGAATAATAAGTGAGCAATGGTCCAGTATAGGCGCATAGGCATGGTATAGTCAGTTCAGCTCCATTGGGCTCAGCCTATGGCCTATGAACTTCAGGCCCTGTTCTTTGCCTTTGAAGCTTCTCAGTCCTATTTGCGTACAGTCCGTCACTCTCGCGGAGTCGTAGTCTCCTTATATGTTTCCTTTGTCTAAAATTGCAATTATTGTGTCACGTTTTGCTCCGACGTCCGGTAGGCGTTCAAACCGTCCAGACACGAGGCTAGTGGAAAAGTGGAAAAGGAACAAAACGACAAAGACCACGGTTCCCGACGACTCATTTGGTGAGGACCAAAACGAAAAGTAATAATTATTTTCTAGATTATGTTTTAAGGACATGTTCTTTCTTTTCATGTCATCCGCGATCCGGTTCGGTATTACATGGTGATTTCACATCATTATTTTAATATTATTTACGATATTTTAACAGATTTCAACGTCATTACAACTCTGATGACTAATAATTTAAAAAGAACTAAATTTTATGGATTAAAACCACGGGTTTGAAATTTACTAGACTGGGATCAAAATCAAAACGAGTCTAAATTTTAAGAATAAAAAGTTATATTGGGTTAACTAGAAGGAAATAAACATTCGGGATTTGCTTTTTTTAAAACGTAAATCTGCTACGTATGTGTGCATTCGGATAGACAAGATTGCGTTAAGATGTGATGGACGAAGGGATAAGAATGTTGCGGAACATGTTTGATCACACGTATTGAGATGCCTGGCATCCGACTGGGTGGAACACATTAAATAATTTATTTGTATATTGGATGAGACCAGGCGTAGACTCATTTTGAAATACTGATCCAGCGCCAGTTTAGTTTATAAAGCATCTGGTAGCAGAAACTTCAAATATGCATCTATGATACTACATGGAAATAGAATCACGCATGATGAGAACCATTTCAAGGGGTATCACCCGCATCCACAGACATCACCACGTGTCCACGTCATCCACTCCTTCTTCCCCAGCTTTTATGTTTCATTATTACTCCATCCGGTTCAAAATACAAACTAAACTCTATTATAAAAAAATTTTTTTTTATAAGCTAGTATTTATTTTTGTCTAAGTATTTAATGAGTTTTTTTTCCTAATTTTATCTCCATATATATATTTTTAATTCATTTATTACATTCTTTACTTATTCTCTTCATTAATAAGGACATATCTAGAAACATGTATGGGTGGCTTGACTGAAGGAAACATGCACCTCCATGTATACATAGCATGCACTTGAACTTTATTTCATCAGGAAACCAAGCCACCCATATATATAAACTATTTGGCGCGTGCTTATTCTTCATAAAATAGTCATTTTCAATGTATATATGCTGACTAGACCTTGCTTGAATAATTTGCTTCTTCCACAAGCGAGTTTTTCTTTTCCACAAGCATGTGCCCCTCTCAGTCCATGCATGTAATCATCTGAAACAAGACAGAAGTTAAAGCTGAAGGCGGCCAAATAATAATATAAAAAGAAGACCATATTAATCTAAATTTGTGTTGTTGAAATGAAAGACAACGATGATATAAACTTGTAAAGCACCCAGCCATTCTACTTCTTGAGAAGCCGATCCATCGTGGCTAACTTTTTTTTGGGGGGGGGGGGAACAGAAGCAAAGAAACTTCACTTTTTCTTCTTTTTTTTTTTGGCCAAAAGAAAAAAAGTGGGGAAAATGTTCCTCGCTCTCTCCAGTTTCTATGAGCATGGAAAACATGTAGTCAAAGGAACTAGAGACGTTTCAAAAATTTCATTTATTTGTATTGAAATTTTCATGACCGGAGGAAACAGTAATGAACCTCTTGCACCCAGAGGGAATGCTGAAGGTCTGCAATTCAAGAGAGGGAGCATTCGGCTCGTTTCACCATATATAAATAATTACTTTTGCATATCATGAGCATAGAGCAGAGCGAGCGAATGAAATTTATGCATGGGAGGTGCTAACTCCGGTACTAATTATAAGAATTAGATAACTAATTTGAAAAGATTAAAAAAATAAGTTAAATTAGTTATTTGTAGTAAATAGATGTAGTCTTTCTAAAAATATCTTTGCTAATCAAGTGTATTGGTTAGAACTACTATTGTTAGATGGACTAACTTGGAAAAAAAATACATAAATATGATAAACAAAGTGAATTGAGATCTTATATTTAGAACTAAAATAAAAGTAAAAAAAAATTTTATATTAAGGACCGGAGGTAGTATATTATACTAAGGATATTTTTTTTCCGCCAAGTCAAATTCCTCATGTATCTTTTTCTCCCTCACACGGTGTAGCAGTAGAAGAGAGTGATGAAATGTCGTAAATATAATAAATCGTGCACGTACATATAAAAATTTTTATTTATGAGGAGTATTTAATTAAGAGGAGAATCATAGATAAACAAACAAAATGAAAAATATGTGAACTCACTCGGTGGAGGAAAGTGGCTCGAAATGCTGGGAGGCAACTAGTTGGCAATTCTCTGATTATTAATTAATAATAATGATATATTGCGTCTTCACTCTTGCTATATAAACATACTTAGTGGCAGCGGCTCTCAACACAAATCCAGCAGCAGGCAAACTCTGATAGATCAAAAATGGAGATTGTGGCGAAGATGTGGAGCCAATTGGGCTCCATCATGGCCACCCTCATGTTACTCTACACCATGTTTGATAGGTTCCTCCCTCCTCCTCTTCGTCACCACATCAGAATCTACACCGGAAAACTCACCTCCCTCGTCTCTCCCTCTATCTCCATCAAATTCCCTGAGTTTGAAGGCGAACGTCTCAAGCGCAGCGAAGTTTTCACTGCTATCCAAACCTATCTCAGTGCCCACTCTTCGGAACGAGCCTCCAGGCTGAAAGCCGAAGTCGTCAAGGACAGCCACACCCCACTGGTTCTTAGCATGGACGACAACGAAGAGATCACCGATGAGTTTCAAGGGGTCAAGCTATCGTGGTCTCATAAACACGAAGT